CTCATTACCAGAGATGGGGGAAGTCCCCCAATTTTGAAAAGCCATCAAAATTTGCAATTTCTATAGTTGTAACATTTATCAATTATTCTTTGCCCATGTAAGATTGGAAATAAAATTGATGTACTCATTACCAGAGATGGGGGAAGTCCCCCAATTTTGAAAAGCCATCAAAATTTGCAATTTCTATAGTTGTAACATTTATCAACTATTCTTTGCCCATGTAAGATTGGAAATAAAATTGATGTACTCATTACCAGAGATGGGGGAAGTCCCCCAATTTTGAAAAGCCATCAAAATTTGCAATTTCTATAGTTGTAACATTTATCAACTATTCTTTGCCCACGTAAGATTGGAAATAAAATTGATGTACTCATTACGAGAGATGGGGGAAGTCCCCCAATTTTGAAAAGCCATCAAAATTTGCAATTTCTATAGTTGTAACATTTATCAACTATTGTTTTGCTCATGTAAGATTAGAAATAAAATTGATGTACTCATTACCAGAGATGGGGGAAGTCCCCCAATTTTGAAAAGCCATGAATATTTTCAATTTCCATAATTCTAACGTTTATCAACTATTATTTGCTCATGTCAGATTGGAAATAAAATTGATGTACTCATTACCAGAGATGGGGGAAGTCCCCCAATTTTGAAAAGCCATCAAAATTTGCAATTTCTATAGTTGTAACATTTATCAACTATTCTTTGCCCATGTAAGATTGGAAATAAAATTGATGTACTCATTACGAGAGATGGGGGAAGTCCCCCAATTTTGAAAAGCCATCAAAATTTGCAATTTCTATAGTTGTAACATTTATCAACTATTGTTTGCTCATGTAAGATTAGAAATAAAATTGATGTACTCATTACCAGAGATGGGGGAAGTCCCCCAATTTTGAAAAGCCATCAAAATTTGCAATTTCTATAGTTGTAACATTTATCAATTATTCTTTGCCCATGTAAGATTGGAAATAAAATTGATGTACTCATTACCAGAGATGGGGGAAGTCCCCCAATTTTGAAAAGCCATCAAAATTTGCAATTTCTATAGTTGTAACATTTATCAACTATTCTTTGCCCACGTAAGATTGGAAATAAAATTGATGTACTCATTACCAGAGATGGGGGAAGTCCCCCAATTTTGAAAAGCCATCAAAATTTGCAATTTCTATAGTTGTAACATTTATCAACTATTCTTTGCCCATGTAAGATTGGAAATAAAATTGATGTACTCATTACGAGAGATGGGGGAAGTCCCCCAATTTTGAAAAGCCATCAAAATTTGCAATTTCTATAGTTGTAACATTTATCAACTATTCTTTGCCCACGTAAGATTGGAAATAAAATTGATGTACTCATTACCAGAGATGGGGGAAGTCCCCCAATTTTGAAAAGCCATCAAAATTTGCAATTTTTATAATTGTAACATTTATCAACTATTGTTTGCCCATGTAAGATAGGAAATAAAATTGATGTACTCATTACGAGAGATGGGGGAAGTCCCCCAATTTTGAAAAGCCATCAAAATTTGCAATTTCTATAGTTGTAACATTTATCAACTATTCTTTGCCCACGTAAGATTGGAAATAAAATTGATGTACTCATTACGAGAGATGGGGGAAGTCCCCCAATTTTGAAAAGCCATCAAAATTTGCAATTTCTATAGTTGTAACATTTATCAACTATTGTTTGCTCATGTAAGATTAGAAATAAAATTGATGTACTCATTACCAGAGATGGGGGAAGTCCCCCAATTTTGAAAAGCCATGAATATTTTCAATTTCCATAATTCTAACGTTTATCAACTATTATTTGCTCATGTCAGATTGGAAATAAAATTGATGTACTCATTACCAGAGATGGGGGAAGTCCCCCAATTTTGAAAAGCCATCAAAATTTGCAATTTCTATAGTTGTAACATTTATCAACTATTCTTTGCCCATGTAAGATTGGAAATAAAATTGATGTACTCATTACGAGAGATGGGGGAAGTCCCCCAATTTTGAAAAGCCATCAAAATTTGCAATTTCTATAGTTGTAACATTTATCAACTATTGTTTGCTCATGTAAGATTAGAAATAAAATTGATGTACTCATTACCAGAGATGGGGGAAGTCCCCCAATTTTGAAAAGCCATGAATATTTTCAATTTCCATAATTCTAACGTTTATCAACTATTATTTGCTCATGTCAGATTGGAAATAAAATTGATGTACTCATTACCAGAGATGGGGGAAGTCCCCCAATTTTGAAAAGCCATCAAAATTTGCAATTTCTATAGTTGTAACATTTATCAATTATTCTTTGCCCATGTAAGATTGGAAATAAAATTGATGTACTCATTACCAGAGATGGGGGAAGTCCCCCAATTTTGAAAAGCCATCAAAATTTGCAATTTCTATAGTTGTAACATTTATCAATTATTCTTTGCCCATGTAAGATTGGAAATAAAATTGATGTACTCATTACCAGAGATGGGGGAAGTCCCCCAATTTTGAAAAGCCATCAAAATTTGCAATTTCTATAGTTGTAACATTTATCAACTATTGTTTGCTCATGTAAGATTAGAAATAAAATTGATGTACTCATTACCAGAGATGGGGGAAGTCCCCCAATTTTGAAAAGCCATGAATATTTTCAATTTCCATAATTCTAACGTTTATCAACTATTATTTGCTCATGTCAGATTGGAAATAAAATTGATGTACTCATTACCAGAGATGGGGGAAGTCCCCCAATTTTGAAAAGCCATCAAAATTTGCAATTTCTATAGTTGTAACATTTATCAACTATTCTTTGCCCATGTAAGATTGGAAATAAAATTGATGTACTCATTACGAGAGATGGGGGAAGTCCCCCAATTTTGAAAAGCCATCAAAATTTGCAATTTCTATAGTTGTAACATTTATCAACTATTGTTTGCTCATGTAAGATTAGAAATAAAATTGATGTACTCATTACCAGAGATGGGGGAAGTCCCCCAATTTTGAAAAGCCATGAATATTTTCAATTTCCATAATTCTAACGTTTATCAACTATTATTTGCTCATGTCAGATTGGAAATAAAATTGATGTACTCATTACCAGAGATGGGGGAAGTCCCCCAATTTTGAAAAGCCATCAAAATTTGCAATTTCTATAGTTGTAACATTTATCAATTATTCTTTGCCCATGTAAGATTGGAAATAAAATTGATGTACTCATTACCAGAGATGGGGGAAGTCCCCCAATTTTGAAAAGCCATCAAAATTTGCAATTTCTATAGTTGTAACATTTATCAATTATTCTTTGCCCATGTAAGATTGGAAATAAAATTGATGTACTCATTACCAGAGATGGGGGAAGTCCCCCAATTTTGAAAAGCCATCAAAATTTGCAATTTCTATAGTTGTAACATTTATCAACTATTGTTTGCTCATGTAAGATTAGAAATAAAATTGATGTACTCATTACCAGAGATGGGGGAAGTCCCCCAATTTTGAAAAGCCATGAATATTTTCAATTTCCATAATTCTAACGTTTATCAACTATTATTTGCTCATGTCAGATTGGAAATAAAATTGATGTACTCATTACCAGAGATGGGGGAAGTCCCCCAATTTTGAAAAGCCATCAAAATTTGCAATTTCTATAGTTGTAACATTTATCAACTATTCTTTGCCCATGTAAGATTGGAAATAAAATTGATGTACTCATTACGAGAGATGGGGGAAGTCCCCCAATTTTGAAAAGCCATCAAAATTTGCAATTTCTATAGTTGTAACATTTATCAACTATTGTTTGCTCATGTAAGATTAGAAATAAAATTGATGTACTCATTACCAGAGATGGGGGAAGTCCCCCAATTTTGAAAAGCCATGAATATTTTCAATTTCCATAATTCTAACGTTTATCAACTATTATTTGCTCATGTCAGATTGGAAATAAAATTGATGTACTCATTACCAGAGATGGGGGAAGTCCCCCAATTTTGAAAAGCCATCAAAATTTGCAATTTCTATAGTTGTAACATTTATCAATTATTCTTTGCCCATGTAAGATTGGAAATAAAATTGATGTACTCATTACCAGAGATGGGGGAAGTCCCCCAATTTTGAAAAGCCATCAAAATTTGCAATTTCTATAGTTGTAACATTTATCAATTATTCTTTGCCCATGTAAGATTGGAAATAAAATTGATGTACTCATTACCAGAGATGGGGGAAGTCCCCCAATTTTGAAAAGCCATCAAAATTTGCAATTTCTATAGTTGTAACATTTATCAACTATTCTTTGCCCACGTAAGATTGGAAATAAAATTGATGTACTCATTACCAGAGATGGGGGAAGTCCCCCAATTTTGAAAAGCCATCAAAATTTGCAATTTCTATAGTTGTAACATTTATCAACTATTCTTTGCCCATGTAAGATTGGAAATAAAATTGATGTACTCATTACGAGAGATGGGGGAAGTCCCCCAATTTTGAAAAGCCATCAAAATTTGCAATTTCTATAGTTGTAACATTTATCAACTATTCTTTGCCCACGTAAGATTGGAAATAAAATTGATGTACTCATTACCAGAGATGGGGGAAGTCCCCCAATTTTGAAAAGCCATCAAAATTTGCAATTTTTATAATTGTAACATTTATCAACTATTGTTTGCCCATGTAAGATAGGAAATAAAATTGATGTACTCATTACGAGAGATGGGGGAAGTCCCCCAATTTTGAAAAGCCATCAAAATTTGCAATTTCTATAGTTGTAACATTTATCAACTATTGTTTGCTCATGTAAGATTGGAAATAAAATTGATGTACTCATTACCAGAGATGGGGGAAGTCCCCCAATTTTGAAAAGCCATGAATATTTTCAATTTCTGTAATTCTACCGTTTATCAACTATTATTTGCTATGATCTGAAATAGAATTGATGTATTCATTACCTGGGAAGAGGGAAGTCACTCGATTTTGAGAAACCATGGACATTTGATACGAGTTTGCTTTTATTCGACTTCGTTAAACGACTTTCGTTCTCTTGCACGAAACCTCTAGCATAAGGACGGTCGGCGTCACACCATGGCGAGCCTTGTCGCTTTTTCAAGTAGACATCGTAATCAGGATGGGTCTCTAAATTCTCGAGCATCGGTACTCGTGTACTGATCTCGCAGCTTCCATTTCCTTTCACGCCCACGCTGATAGAAAATCGTCAGAAAAAAATCAATTTTCCAGGGGCTTACTTGCTTAAAAAAATCAAAATTTAACGGAAATGAGAACTTTTAATAATCTACCCCATTTTTCTTACCCAAATGTAAATGCTTTGCAATTATGTTCGTTTTTCGTGCATTGTTCCTCGCATTCCGTCAAACCTGACACCTCGACTCGCGACAGAATGTCCGCGTCGGCCATTTTTGAACCAACCGATATCCTCATATAACAATCTGAGACAAAAACAGTACTTTTTATATTGTTTATACCGGAATTTAAACGATTATATTTTTTTTTTTGTGATAAAATAGTAAACAATGTTTACCATTCGCGACGACTGCTATGCGATTATCGATCACGAGGCAGGGCAATCGTAAACATTGCTGAAGAACGTTAAGAACGTGGAACACGACTGGCAATAACCCCCTGCTTCGTTTAATCATTTTTGTTTCAGGGATCGTTCTTGGCTGTTTAAACGATTTCAATAACGATTACACATTTTTACGTGACCTTCTATCTGCATAAATTTTTTTTTTTTCGTGGCTAATTTTCCTATTTGACATTATTGCAAAAAATGTTTTGAGATACTCGAATTTAAAATTTTCAAAAGATCACGAAGGTTCATTCCTTTCTGTTTTACTAAGAATGATACATTTTTAAGTGACCTTTTATTTGGATAATTTTCTTTTTTTTTTCGTGACTAATTTTTCTATTTAACACAATTGCAAAAAATTTTTCAAAATACTCGAATTTAAAATTTTCAAAAAACCATAAAGGTTCATTCAATTCTGTCTTACTAAGAATTACACATTTTTACGTGACTTTTTATTTGCATAATTTTTTTTCCTTTTTTTTGATGACTAACTATTCTATTTAACATTGCAAAAAATTTTTCAAAATACTCGAATTCAAAATTTTCAAAAACCACAAAGGTTCATTTGATTTTGTTTTACTAATAATTACACATTTTTACGTGACTTTTTATTTGCATAATTTTTTTTCCTTTTTTCATGAATAATTTTTCTATTTAACATTATTGCAAACAATTTTTCGATACCAGAATTTTTTTTTTAGGTGACCTTTTATCTGCATATTTTTTTTTTTTGGTGGCTAATTTTTCAATGAAACAATATTGCAAAAAATATGACCTTTTTGAATTTAAAATTTTCAGAAGAATAACTATCGTCATACTAAATAATATATATAGATATGTTTACAATGTACAATACCTATCAGACGCTTATTCTCAAACCATCCCTAAACTTTTCTATAAAATGAAACATTTTTTGATACGCGAGCCTAATTTCCTCTGTGACTCACTATAGGCTTACATCGTCCCAAAAATTCGCATAGTTAAAACACTATCCGCGATATTCAACGACCTGATCTTAACCGAGGGTACCGAGCAACTGTGTGCTCTCTTAAACAAAACGCAAAGAGAGCTCTCTAAAGCGAGCATTACGTTAGAATCGCCTAACTGTATTAACTCTCCTTGTTCTTCTTTACACTGTACTCTTACTTTTGTACTCTCGTAGTATGCACTAAATCAGTCACACTCAACCTCTTTTTTTTTCTCAGATCACAACATAGCATGCTATACCTCATAACGTAAAAAAATGAAACTCAAAATCTGAGCACATTCCAGCATCAGAGTTGAGCAAAAGAATACAAATATCAGATACATTTCTAATTCTAAATACATGTCCAAATAAGTAAAAAATGAAACTACAAATCTGAGTACATTTGAGTGTAAAAGTTGAGCAAAAGAATAAAAATATCAGATATATTTCTAAATCTAAATCTATGTTTAAATAATTAGAAAATGAAACTCCAAATCTGAGTACATTTGAGCGTCAGAGTTGAGAAAAAGAATATAAATATCAGATACAATTCTAAATCATCTTCTATTCATGTTTAAATAATTATCTAAAAAATGAAACTGAAAATGTGGGTAAATTTGAGCGTCAAAGTTGAGCAAAAGAATAAAAATATCAGATACAATTCTAAATTAACTTCTATCCATGTTCAAATAATTATCTAAACAATGAAACTCAAAACTTGAGCACATTTGAGCGTCGAAGTTGAGCAAAAGAATTAAAACATTAAATATAACTCTAAATGAACTTTTATCTATGTCCAAATAATTATCTAAACAATGAAACTCTGAGTACATTTGAGTACATCTGAACAAAATTTGAGTACATTTGAGCGTCAAAGTTGAGCAAAAGAATACAAATATCAGATACAATTTTATATCAACTTCTATGTTCGAATAATTATCTAACAAATGAGGCTCAAAATTTGAGTATATTTGAGCGTCAAAATTTGAGCAAAAGAATACAAATATCAGACACAATTTTAAATCGATTTCTATATTCAAATAATTATTTAATAAATGAAACTTTGAGTACATCTGATCAATGTCTGAGTAAATTTGAGCGTCAAAGTTGAGCAAAAGAATAAAAATATCAGATACAATTCTAAATTAACTTCTATCCATGTTCAAATAATTATCTAAACAATGAAACTCAAAACTTGAGCACATTTGAGCGTCGAAGTTGAGCAAAAGAATTAAAACATTAAATATAACTCTAAATGAACTTTTATCTATGTCCAAGTAATTATCTAAACAATGAAACTCTGAGTACATTTGAGTACATCTGAACAAAATTTGAGTACATTTGAGCGTCAAAGTTGAGCAAAAGAATACAAATATCAGATACAATTTTATATGAACTTCTATGTTCGAATAATTATCTAACAAATGAGGCTCAAAATTTGAGTATATTTGAGCGTCAAAATTTGAGCAAAAGAATACAAATATCAGACACAAATTTAAATCGATTTCTATATTCAAATAATTATTTAAAAAATGAAACTTTGAGTACATCTGATCAATGTCTGAGTAAATTTGAGAGTCACAGTTGAGCAAAAGAATAAAAATATCAGATACAATTCTAAATTAACTTATATCCATGTTCAAATAATTATCTCAACAATGAAACTCAAAACTTGAGCACATTTGAGCGTCGAAGTTGAGCAAAAGAATTAAAACATTAAATATAACTCTAAATGAACTTTTATCTATGTCCAAATAATTATCTAAACAATGAAACTCTGAGTACATTTGAGTACATCTGAACAAAATTTGAGTACATTTGAGCGTCAAAGTTGAGCAAAAGAATACAAATATCAGATACAATTTTATATGAACTTCTATGTTCGAATAATTATCTAACAAATGAGGCTCAAAATTTGAGTATATTTGAGCGTCAAAATTTGAGCAAAAGAATACAAATATCAGACACAAATTTAAATCGATTTCTATATTCAAATAATTATTTAAAAAATGAAACTTTGAGTACATCTGATCAATGTCTGAGTAAATTTGAGAGTCACAGTTGAGCAAAAGAATAAAAATATCAGATACAATTCTAAATTAACTTATATCCATGTTCAAATAATTATCTCAACAATGAAACTCAAAACTTGAGCACATTTGAGCGTCGAAGTTGAGCAAAAGAATTAAAACATTAAATATAACTCTAAATGAACTTTTATCTATGTCCAAATAATTATCTAAACAATGAAACTCTGAGTACATTTGAGTACATCTGAACAAAATTTGAGTACATTTGAGCGTCAAAGTTGAGCAAAAGAATACAAATATCAGATACAATTTTATATGAACTTCTATGTTCGAATAATTATCTAACAAATGAGGCTCAAAATTTGAGTATATTTGAGCGTCAAAATTTGAGCAAAAGAATACAAATATCAGACACAAATTTAAATCGATTTCTATATTCAAATAATTATTTAAAAAATGAAACTTTGAGTACATCTGATCAATGTCTGAGTAAATTTGAGAGTCACAGTTGAGCAAAAGAATAAAAATATCAGATACAATTCTAAATTAACTTATATCCATGTTCAAATAATTATCTCAACAATGAAACTCAAAACTTGAGCACATTTGAGCGTCGAAGTTGAGCAAAAGAATTAATACATTAAATATAACTCTAAATAAACTTTTATCTATGTCCAAATAATTATCTAAACAATGAAACTCTGAGTACATTTGAGTACATCTGAACAAAATTTGAGTACATTTGAGCGTCAAAGTTGAGCAAAAGAATACAAATATCAGATACAATTTTATAACAACTTCTATGTTCGAATAATTATCTAACAAATGAGGCTCAAAATTTGAGTATATTTGAGCGTCCAAATTTGAGCAAAAGAATACAAATATCAGACACAAATTTAAATCGATTTCTATATTCAAATAATTATTTAAAAAATGAAACTTTGAGTACATCTGATCAATGTCTGAGTAAATTTGAGCGTCAAAGTTGAGCAAAAGAATAAAAATATCAGATACAATTCTAAATTAACTTCTATCCATGTTTAAATAATTATCTCAACAATGAAACTCAAAACTTGAGCACATTTGAGCGTCGAAGTTGAGCAAAAGAATTAAAACATTAAATATAACTCTAAATGAACTTTTATCTATGTCCAAATAATTATCTAAACAATGAAACTCTGAGTACATTTGAGTACATCTGAACAAAATTTGAGTACATTTGAGCGTCAAAGTTGAGCAAAAGAATACAAATATCAGATACAATTTTATATCAACTTCTATGTTCGAATAATTATCTAACAAATGAGGCTCAAAATTTGAGTATATTTGAGCGTCCAAATTTGAGCAAAAGAATACAAATATCAGACACAAATTTAAATCGATTTCTATATTCAAATAATTATTTAATAAATGAAACTTTGAGTACATCTGATCAATGTCTGAGTAAATTTGAGCGTCAAAGTTGAACAAAAGAATAAAAATATCAGATACAATTCTAAATTAACTTCTATCCATGTTCAAATAATTATCTGAACAATGAAACTCAAAACTTGAGCACATTTGAGCGTCGAAGTTGAGCAAAAGAATTAAAACATTAAATATAACTCTAAATGAACTTTTATCTATGTCCAAATAATTATCTAAACAATGAAACTCTGAGTACATTTGAGTACATCTGAACAAAATTTGAGTACATTTGAGCGTCAAAGTTGAGCAAAAGAATACAAATATCAGATACAATTTTATATCAACTTCTATGTTCGAATAATTATCTAACAAATGAGGCTCAAAATTTGAGTATATTTGAGCGTCCAAATTTGAGCAAAAGAATACAAATATCAGACACAAATTTAAATCGATTTCTATATTCAAATAATTATTTAATAAATGAAACTTTGAGTACATCTGATCAATGTCTGAGTAAATTTGAGCGTCAAAGTTGAACAAAAGAATAAAAATATCAGATACAATTCTAAATTAACTTCTATCCATGTTCAAATAATTATCTAAACAATGAAACTCAAAACTTGAGCACATTTGAGCGTCGAAGTTGAGCAAAAGAATTAAAACATTAAATATAACTCTAAATGAACTTTTATCTATGTCCAAATAATTATCTAAACAATGAAACTCTGAGTACATTTGAGTACATCTGAACAAAATTTGAGTACATTTGAGCGTCAAAGTTGAGCAAAAGAATACAAATATCAGATACAATTTTATATCAACTTCTATGTTCGAATAATTATCTAACAAATGAGGCTCAAAATTTGAGTATATTTGAGCGTCAAAATTTGAGCAAAAGAATACAAATATCAGACACAAATTTAAATCGATTTCTATATTCAAATAATTATTTAAAAAATGAAACTTTGAGTACATCTGATCAATGTCTGAGTAAATTTGAGAGTCACAGTTGAGCAAAAGAATAAAAATATCAGATACAATTCTAAATTAACTTATATCCATGTTCAAATAATTATCTCAACAATGAAACTCAAAACTTGAGCACATTTGAGCGTCGAAGTTGAGCAAAGGAATTAAAACATTAAATATAACTCTAAATGAACTTTTATCTATGTCCAAATAATTATCTAAACAATGAAACTCAAAAATTTGAGTACATTTGAGCGTCAGAATTGAGCAAAAGAATACAAATATGCAGAAACAATTTTAAATCAACTTTTATGTTCAAATAATTATCTAAGAAATGAAACTCTGAGTACATCTGAGTATATCTGATCAAAATTTGAGTACATTTGAGCGCCAAAGTTGAACAAGAGAATAAAAATATCAGATACACTTCTAAATCAACTTCTATTCACGTTTAAATAATTATCTAAACAATGAATCTCAAAACTTGAGCACATTTGAGGGTCGAAGTTGAGCAAAGGAATTAAAACATTAAATATAACTCTAAATGAACTTTTATCTATGTCCAAATAATTATCTAAACAATGAAACTCAAAATTTGAGCACATTTGAGCGTCAAAGTTGAGCAAAAGAATAAAAATATCAGATCCAATTCTAAATCAACTTCTATCCATGTTTAAATAATTATCTAAAAAATGAAACTCAAAATTTGAGCACATTTGAGCGTCGAAGTTGAGCATAAGAATTAAAACATTAAATATAACTCTAAATGAACTTTTATCTATGTCCAAATAATTATCTAAAAAATGAGGCTCAAAATTTGAGTACATTTGAGCGTCAAAATTTGAGCAAAAGAATACAAATATCAGATACAATTCTAAATCGACTTCTATATGCAAATAATAATCTAAAAAATGAAACAATGAGTACATCTGAGTACATCTGATCAAAATTTGAATATATTTGAGCGTCAAAGTTGAGCAAAAGAATAAAAATATTAAATATTATTCTAAATCAACTTCTATCCATGCCCAAATAATTATCTATCCTATCCACACGTGAGATTACATATATACGTGTGGTTATGTTCTTATATTTAATTTAAATATAATTTTTCATTTATAAATATAATGTTTCAGCACGAGTGTTTGAGGCCGCAGGTTGAGTACGTCTGTACTAGATCTCGTTTCTTCCGCAGTGTCTAGTTTAATTAGCTTACTCGCAACACACCTACACGATGCCACGAAAGGAACAAGAGAAGGTTTTGCGTAATCGAGCAAACCAGAGATTCCCAACGACCGCCATATTGGTTTCCACCACGAAGCCACTCGTCGTTTATCCTGAACATTTACATTTTTTAAGTTTTACTCGCCAAAAATTACCAATTTTCTTTCCGGACTGCACACTAATGTGTTTTTTCTTAATTAAAATATTCCAAATAACATTCTCAACATAAAACAATGGAAAATGAAACGTAGAAAATTTGAAATCCGACAATCTTTGTAGAAATTATAACATATTCAAAGTTATACAATTACTAATCCCTTACAGGGGCTCTTTGTTCCAAGAAATTAATTAAAAATTGTTATTTTATTAAAAAATTTTGTAAAAAAAATTTAATAACGACAAAAGAAATACACTGGCTTTCCATGGGAGATATTAAAGTTTTTATTATACTATTATTTTGGTTAACAGAAATTTTCTTCGTGGGATCAATTTGCACCGCAATTAAATTCTTGAAATGGAGGTTCCCGTTTCTGTGTTTCGAAATTTCAATTTTGGAATTCTATTTTAACCGAAATGTATTAAAACGTCATTATTTCGAGCTGCCACGGAGCCAGGAGATTACCAAAGGAATACTTACGTAACAAAAATGAGATAAGTTAAACAAAAACAAAGGTGGGACGCGTCACGCTTCGTGAGGCCCGGCCCAAAGAGAAGATGACTCACCTAGCGATTATGGTTCTTACGTGCATAGAACTCTTCTGTAGTCCGAAATTATATATATTTATTTCATCAATAACAAAACTGAAATTAACATCCATTTTCCGAATTAAGAATAAAAAAATAAGTTATTCTTATAATTTCACTCTTAAAGCTCGAATTTTTAAGAAAATTTAAAGCTAAAACAATTAAAAACAATCAAAATACAATCGCTAAAATCACTTTTTATTTTTTACTCCGAGAAAGGAACATTATCGTACACCTACAGTAAACACGTTGGTTGTTTTCCACTTTTATTAAAAACCGTAGAAATATAGAGTACATGGAAAAATAGAACACGGTTTGTATTAATTATACATTCGAGTAAACGCTATGTATGGAAGACACTGTCGTTACTCTAACGAACGACTAACTGCTTTAAATAGGCAAGATGAAAATATACGCAAAACAAAAATTTGTCTTATGATTATTATTATCTTCTTACCGTCTGTGCCTCGCTTCCTTCTGTTTTATCGACACTTTTTCCTTATCGGCTACGATCAGGTTTCGTTGAGCTTCAGCGCTGTTCAGATGGCGCTGATGGTTTATTCCTCGAATACGACACAACATCCTTAGATTTAACACGTGAATGCCCGGCCAAATCCAATAAATGTTCTACGAGATCAATATTTTATTTCTGAATAATCGAGAGCTTAATCGAACATTTATGATGGTGCTTATTTCAGTAACTTCATCGAAATTTCTAAATTATATCCGAATTTAGTTTCTTTTCAGAATTAATATCTTTATCGTCTTACTGAAAAATTACGTGGACAATGAACGTATTAAAAGCCTCGTCTAGCATCCATTCTGTAGAAATCGGTGGCTTTAGTGCCTATAACTGAGCCGTGAACAAGAGAAAAGGACTAGCAACATGTGTACGTATTCTCATGTATTCCATGAGCAATACTGAGGTTCTGGGGACTTTCCTCGAGGTGTGGTACGTAAGTACTGATGTCGTTCCAGTCCGAGTTCGTTGATTCGTACACTTTAATCGACGTAGCGTCGTGATCGGTCAAAGATAATCCAAGCAAACCCATGCCAATGTGTGTGAACACACTTTCGATCCCTTCGTCCTCGAGAACCGACGTCTCGTGGTAACTTGCGCCAATTTCCATTGCGTAAACTCTGCCCTCCTCGCTGTTGACCTGCCGCTCGTTAAACAGATCCGATTTATTACCGATCACCGCTAACACCATCGTCTCTTCGACGTTTCTGCGAAGCTCTGCCACCCATTTTTTCATCGCTGCGAATGTGTTGTACTGTGTCAAATCAAACACCAACATAGCTGCATTAGCGTTGCGGTAGTACATAGGCGCCATCGATCTATATCGTTCCTGTCCCGCAGTGTCCCAGACCTGTGTCGAGCAGAAAATATCTAAACTCACGCTCACGCTTGACACAAAGAAAAATACCCGCTATTTACGTGGTCCATTCGGTGATGGACATCGTGGGAATTTTGGTCATGCGCACTGGAATTTTCCCTCGTGGGATTCATTTCTGCGCATGCGTAAGCGACGTCACAGCTACCTGCGCTCCAGTGCGCATGACCAAAATTCCCACGAATGTCCAACACTGGATCCATTAGGGATTACAAAAAACGGTATATTCCTAGCAAACGACCCGTTCAACGATCGGGATGAGTTATACGTCATTCGATTCGTTTAATTCAGTACATTATTGATATGCATTTTATTATCTGCGGAAATTCGTTATTTTTTTATAAACTTGCCGTAATATTACAGTAAAAAAGTAAGGTTAAGTATATCTTGACAGGTTCACAGGTGGAAACAAGTGAATGTCGTTACTGTGTTCAAAATGTCGTCAAATGCTAATTTGTTAAACATTTATTGAATGAAAGCACCCCGCACAGATCTTATGGAAAATGGCCCCCGGTTAAGTTAGCTGAACTTTTGATACGATGTAGTTCATTATGTCTTGATGAAAAGTTCCAATGGGCCCGAGCTCGTAAATTGAACAGTTTCCAAGATACGGGGGATCAAAAGTCAATAATGGTGCGCCTTATTCTAGACTACCACGTTTGAGCATATTTGAGCGTAAGAAGTACTGTTGTGACCCTGTGGGCCCTTAACCCTTTGCGGTCTGATTAAATTTGGAGATGGGTATCGTACTGGTCGGAATTAATTTACGTCGATAGAGCAGGGATACATAACACGCAAGTTTACGATGTATAAATAAGATTTAGTAATTCTTTTGTGAACTTTAGATATATCTTTATTCAATACACTCATCTTGTGATATGTTTTTGTATAAAAATTATGTTTTATAATTCTCCTTCGTGTGATATTTTTCAAAACACTTTCCAACATGCAGGCCAGGTTTTCGAGTGCATGTATCGCATTTTGGGGAATTATTTTGGAATATTTTATGAAGAGAGAATGTGTAACTACTGTTAAATACAATTTATAAAATATTCTTTGGAATTCTACAAGGTATCGTCGAACGTTGTCGATTTCACTACGTTCAAAAGACAACTGACTCGCCACTGCGTCTTGCATGGCGAGCGCTGAGTTACAACTTTTGTGTACATTAGATTACGTTATCTCCAATTGATGGAGCACCGTATTGGTTCGTGAATAGGTCCTTTAGGCATTGAGGTTCGTATAGGAAAAGTGTAAACTGATACATGAATGCATACAGTATACGATTCGTATAGTTCCTTGCTGTGGTGGCTGAGAGCAGACATACAACCAGAACGGTAAAAAGGCTTTGGCGGCTGAGAGTAGACATACGACCACAAAGGGTTAAATATTACCCTTTGATCCCCCTGACCCTCTGACTCCCATTCAGGAATCAAAATAAACAAACGCCAAGAAGGTAAAAAATGACGAGTCTAAATTCGGCAGAAGAAAATATCATAGAGATCATCGTGTGGAAAGACAGTGGGTTTTCGGAGCAATAGAAAGGGAAAGTGGGAAAATATTCCTGGTCCCTATTGAAAGTAGGGACGCAGGATCCCTTCTTTCAATAATTAAACAGCGGGTGTTGCCTGGAACTACAATTATCTCAGATTGTTGGAAAGCCTACAACATTTTGGAAGAAGACGGGTATACACATCTCACCATAAACCATAGTTTACATTTTAAAGATCCAAAAACAGGTGCTTGTATGAATACAATAGAAACTACGTGGAGGCATAGTAAACAACTTTTGCGTGAATATTGTCGGTTAGTAGCAATACCATAAATATTTTCTATTTTCAGCAAAAATGATAATTTCATTGGGTACTTAAGCCATTACGTATTTTATAAATCTTCCAAGCAAGGAAAGGATGATTTATTTAATCAGTTATTAAAAGAAATTTCAGAAATTTCATTTGATTCCGAAGAAAATCAAAATATACCAGACTCGGATGATAATGAAACTTAATAATAAAAAAAAGTTAAACCAACGCACTGCATACAATAGTAATTTATTATATCGTCTACCCGTAAACACTGTCAGAGGGGTGTGGAAACATTGTTTACTGTTGCTGCATGTACTGTCTACGTATAAGTACTGTCTGAGTAGGTCTGGGTTATATGGGGGGGGAGGGTTAATTGTTGCGGCATATACTGTATACCTGTCCGACTCATAGAAAGTCTATGCGTAAAAAAATAATTTTTATGCATACACGTTCTACAAATTCCCATTTAACAATATAGCATTATCAAATTAGATCAATCATTTATAATTTGTAACATGAACCTAGCAACGATAGTCACTTGTTTCTACCTGTGCACCTGCCAAAAAATGCACTTAACCTTACTTTTTTATTGTAACTTTACAAGTTTTATAAAAAAGTAACGAATTTCCGCAGATAATGAAATGCATATCAATAATGTACTGAATCAGACGAATCGAATGACGTATAACTCACCCCGATCGTTGAACGAGCCGTTTGCTAGTAATGTACCATAACCTAATGTAGTACCTGTAGCATTACTCTTGCGTTCAACAAGTTGAGCTTGCACGAGAAGAAAGACGCGCCAATCGTGGGACTTGCATGTTCGTTGAACGCTTTTTTGACATAACGTATGATCATACTTGTCTTTCCAACGCCTGAAAAATAAATACGAGCGTACGTGTTATACGATATCGATCGATCAGCCTCGTAGATATGAATAGATGCGTACATCGAGACCTAACATAAATATTCCATCACAATCAACAACCTACTAAACGTGGTTTTCAAATACACTACAATCAAAGGAATAGCGTACGGTAAAGGGACTAAATCAGAATGATAGAATAACAAATGTTAATGGTACACTGACCTTGGGAACCTAAAGCCACAACTTTTCCCTCTATCGTCTTCATCTTTCTCTTATCGAGGAGCAACGCATATTAGAACGAATACGACTCGATCTCGCACACTTCTAACAGAAACAATGCGAATAAACAAATTTTCGATGCTTTCTCCGCGTGTAATTTACGACACGACTCTACCCGTGTTGGTAACTCTTGTCGCGTATTTTAGCGGGGAATTTGAGATAAGAACGCGGGTTGGTGCCCGTGGAGCGCAGAACCGCTCTGCTTGTCGGAGTGTGGGAATTTAATAATAAAACTAGACAAGAGAACTCTTTCGTTCGGTAACTTCGTACTTTATTCTACTGGTCCGAAGGCCGGTTAGAGACGCAATGATATAAGAAAAATCGTAGCGTTTCGAAGTCACCTCCGAGGTCCTCGCCGAAGTCGTTGGCCAAATCCTCCTAGTCCTCCCATAGATCCTCGTAGTCCAATCAGGGTGAAGGACGCATCAGATCCAAGCGGTAGGCCGTCCTTCCGATGCACGCACGCCCCCGCGAATCGGCGTCTAACTTTCCCTCCGTCTTCGGGTGGTGGTGGGAACTCGGTGGAGTCGCGCTTTTCCGTTACACAGCGGGGTGCCCACGTGGGAAGAGAAAGTAGGCTCTGCTCCGAGGATCGAGAGAACAACCCTTGAAGGAAATTTATGACTTCCTTAGCGTCGCCAACATTTCTGGAGTCGATCGACGCTCCTAAGACTAACAAAAGGACAAGGCCTTTTCAAGAGGTTACGTGACTTACAAGAAACTCGCGATTCGTTTCGGGGTCTGCTAATTGGTGTCCTCTTCCTGTTTTCGAGCTCTACCCAAGATCTTTCCCACGCGTGCCACCAGCATCGCGCATCCTTAACAATATTCTCTCAATCACGCATAACCATCCGCTTTTGAATTTCGCTCCTAATTTACCTATCGATTATTATATTTCTGGGGCTACGTTCGCGTGGTCACGCAACACTCTATCATCTGTTGCGCGTCCGGCGGCGTATTTCCGAAACTTCGTAGGGAATTCGGCGTGGAACGCTGCCCGTGGAGTGCTAAGGCACTCTGCTCCTTGGACGCGGGAGTTTCAAACGGAGATCGCTAGATAAGGAAAATAATAAATGGATACAACGATTTGAACACACGTAAATAGAACTTTAATTATTCAATAAAAGAATATAAAACAAAACAACCAAGATTTCGCAGGAATCTTGTAACCCTTTCGTACACTTCCGCTCTCGTAATTCAAGATGCTTCTCTCTTTGCCGATTCAACTCTATTAACTAACTCAAATAATAAAAGTACGATCTCGCTTATGTTACAATGCTACGTCCGTTCACTTTCGATTTCTACCAATCAAAATTCTAGTTCACGTATGTACCGTGAGTTGCGATAAATATATTGTCGCCCAGTGTGCGTTGCTGTGTTCACGGTTCACGGCATTCAGTAGCGTGGTAGCTGTGTTGACCACTGGTGAAGTTCTACATCGATAAGTTTTGTAGAATTTAAAGAAAAATGGTAATTATTCGCACATTAAACACTAGTATTTCAGCTTGCTTTTTATGACATTTAAATATTTCTGTTTCTGTTAAACCTGTATAGTTTTTAAATAATGCAAAAATAAAAGGGGGTTATGTTACTGTCAAGTATAACGGTGACACTGCATGTTTTGTAAATTTAAGGGAAACGAATATATTTATGGATCGATCGAATAAATTACGAAATAAAATAAGTTTAATCATCATTTGACATAATACTGATCGAATGCTAAATGAACATTATTGATCTGTCTGATTCGATGTAACAATGGAAATGTTGTTTCTTTATTTTTAGAGTATTTTAGCATACAATGGTGGAGCTATTATAGCTATGAAAGGCAAAAATTGTGTGGCAATAGCTGCCGATAGAAGATTTGGTATACAGACTCAAACAATATCTTGCGATTATCAAAAGATTTTCGAAATGGGATCGCACTTGTATCTCAGTCTTCCTGGCCTTGCCAGCGACACTCAAACAGTAATGGAGAGGTTACGATTTCGATTGAATTTGTACGAATTGAAAGAAAATAGAAAGATTCATCCAAAGACGTTCGCGTCAATGGTTTCAAATTTGTTGTACGAAAGGCGATTTGGACCTTACTTTGTGGAACCCATTATCGCTGGCTTGGATCCTGTTACGTTCGAACCGTTTATTTGCAACATGGATTTAATAGGATGCATAAGTATGCCAGGAGACTTTGCAGTCGGTGGAACATGTAGCGAGCAACTTTATGGAATGTGCGAGTCGCTTTACGAACCAGATTTGGAACCAGACGATCTTTTCGAGACAATCAGTCAGGCTTTGGTAAACGCATGCGACAGAGATGCAATATCTGGTTGGGGAAGCATCGTTCACGTAATGTAAGTTATTTTATTACATAGATCTTTCCTTTGTATCGTTATTACAAAAGAAATTGTTGATTTTCTATTGCAGAGAGAAAGACAAAGTAACAACGAGAACTGTTAAGACGCGAATGGATTAAAATACGTTTAAAACGCATTTACATTATGAATTTACAATTTGGAAGCACGTATTAAAGAGATGTATAATCTGTTTGAATAAATTAATTTTCAATAAATAGAACGTAAAATCTCGTAATGTTTATCGATCCAATTATTACTTGTGTAAGACAGGAGAGCAAGTATGCGTGAATTAAAACATGCGAGCGATTATATGTATTTGTGTTGCGTTTTTCTTCAAATGATATCACTCACGAAACGTATTTTATATCCGAAGAAAATTAATACTTTATTGTATAATATTTCCAAGTAACGGTTGCATCTCACACGTGCATCCTTAATCATGGGCCCGCGAGCGCGCCAGGAGCAAACAGATGGCGCCGTTGTCGGCAATCGCGGACCTAATTAATTTGGGCCCGGATTGACGTCACCCCCCATCCCCGTTAATCGTCACTATTTTCTAAGTAAAGATACAAAAATAGGCAGAAAGAAAAAAGTTAAATCTTCTATGCGGAGCTCTTTTTCTTTTATTACTTGTTTTGTTACATTTTTAATACAACGCTAAGGCACATTGTAGATATACGTATAATTCATAAACACATTTCAGGTGGATGCGACTATATTTCCGATGCTTCCACGTTTTGATCTAGGCAGAATGGTATCCGTAAATTTGATGCTCAATTCCGTAATTGCCATGTTTCCAGTGAGAAATTCGGCCAGAGTTTCAACGCTATCTCGGGGTCGACGGTCGAATGGGAATCCCATGGGACGTGCATCAGGATACTTTCTATCTTTCAATCCACAGTAACTCACGGCATCTCTACAAGTAGACGATGGTTCGTCTTGTTCAACCTGAGGGATTAAATTGCACCATTGATTCGTACTTTGTGTGTTGAATCTGTCGTTAAATGGATCAGAGAAGTACTCACAACGTCGTTATTGTAGTTTGATATCATAACGAAAAGCACCATTGGGAAGCCTTCTTTGCTTCCCCTAGGTACTAACATGTGTTGTGGCCAACCACATCCGCAAAAATTGAATTGTTCTAGAGCATTAACCCCAGATGGTCTGTTCATATCCAAATTGCGGAATGTACTTTCATAAGGCAAAGCCACCGATGAGTCCATTGATTTACGCTCGATTGTATTCCGCCCTGGATTAACTGGAATACGATAAATAAATATAAAATACAGCATTCGCCATAAACAGATACGACAATAATGTTAGTTAACACTTACGTGATACAGTAAACTTGTCCATTTCAATCATCAAGTGCCTTTGTTGATTATACAGAAAAGGTAGTCCACGTTCATCTTCCTTAGGAGCAATGAAAATACGGACAGTGCCTCTTCGTAGCGCATTGTTTCGATTATTAACAATTATCGTGTACGTAAAGTCACCATGATTCAGATGAGTGAATCTAATAGGCACCGAACCACGTGGCATGAAGTCAAGTCCGCGAGACAAGTCTACGACACTCTGATTCCAGAATGTATTCAAGACATTGCGTTGCGAATTAGACGTTAGCCTAATATCCGCTATTTCGATACCTGGAAAGTCCAACTATGGGCACGAAATAAATTTTTTTATCACTTTCTCTTTTTTAAAAATTGTGGCGTTACTTTGCTGCGGGTAGCAACTCGTGAGAATTGGTAGGACAGAGAAGGAAAGGGGAGGGGGCGCATTTCGTCCGGGCCTGCTAGTGGACTCATCAGTAAGGCCCTGCATTGGACAACTGGGATATTGGAAAGTTTACTGTTTTTTTTTTTATTATTATTCTCCTGAGTTGTTATTGCGATTTTTGGGAATGTTGTTGATGTAAATGTTGAAGAGCATGGGGCCCAGGACTGACCCCTGGGGGACCTCGATGTGAAGTGTTCTGGGAGTGGATTGTGTGTCGTTGTAGGTTACTGATATAGTTCTGTTTGACAGGAAGCTGTGTGTTATTTTGATTAGGTGTTTAGGTCGGTTGATATGATGTAGTTTGAGCAGGAGTCCATTGTGCCAGACAGTGTCGAAGGCCTTTTGGAGGTCTAGCAGGACTAGAGCCACAGGACTTGTTCACTTCAAGTGCAATGTCCTCCTTCAATCTGAGGGCTTGGTGGATAGTGGAGTGGTTGACCCGAAAGCCGAATTGTTTCGAGATTAGGGTGTTGTTCTCTGTAAGGTGAATTTTGATTTGGGTGAAGATGATTTTTTCCAGGATTTTACTGAGGAGGCTTAGGAGGCTGACAGAAGGCCTGTAGTTGTTTGGGTTAGCGTGAGCTTTTCCTGGTTTGGGGAAAGGTATGATTTTTGTGATTTTCCATGCTTTCGGGAAATAGGCTAGGTTATAGGCTTGCCTGAGGACGTAGTGTATAGTTGTAGGATCATTCTATTAGGTAGGTTTTTGAGTTGAATTGCGGTGATTTTGTCGTGTCCTGGGGATTTGTTGTTCCTTAAACTCTTGATGAGTTTGAGGACTAGTTGCGAGGTGATGTACTCAGGGTTGAGTGGGGTGGTGTTGGAGAAGTGGTAAGATTATGGGCGTGGAGATCCGATTCTCGTTCTGTAGGAGAATTGTTGGAGTGAGGAGGTTGTAGGTGGAATGTTTTAGCAAGGAGTTCGGCTTTGTCTGGTGTGAGCTATGGAGTTACTATCGGTGAGGGGTGGAATGTTGGTTTTGTTATTGCTTTAGGGCTTTGTAGGTGGTCCGTAGGGAAGTGGGATTTGCTACAATTTGGGAGAGTTTATGAGTCCAGGAGGTGTTTTTAAAGTCGCGGATTTTAGACTTGATTTGGTTGGTGAGTAAGTTTTTTAGGTATCTGTGGAGCGGGTTAGCAGTATTCTGGAATTTACGCAGATATCTGTTTCAGAGCTTGTTGTGGTTAATAAGTTCAGGGTTGGGTTTTAATTGTTTTGCAGTTTGCGTGGGTGGTGATGGTTGCTCTATTGAGGTTATGTCTGATGGTGTTTTGGATATTAGTCATTTTTTTGTCAATGTCCAGCGTGGTGTTCAGGTGGATATTGGGAAGTCGATCGAGGATTGTATACAGGGTGTTCGGCCACCTCTGGGAAAAATTTTAATGGGGGATTCTAGAGGCCAAAATAAGATGAAAATCAAGAATACCAATTTGTTGATGGAGGCTTCGTTAAAAAGTTATTAATGTTTAAAGTTCCGCCCGTACTGAATTTTTTTCTCAGAAATGCGCAAGATTTCGGGGGTATGTCTATTCACCCAAAAATGATTGTAATTGACCCCTGCAACCGAAAATAATTTTTCCAAATCTAATTGAAATTTTTTTTCCCGTCAACAAATTTCACACCTCGAATTTTTTTCTCGAAAGTACGTGGGATTTCGGAAGTATGTGTATTCACCAAAAATGATTGTAATTGACCCCTGCAACCGAAAATAATTTTTCCAGAACGATTTGAAAATTTTTTTTTCGTGGAAAAAAGGCACCTAATTAGATTTTCGGTAAGGAATTTTTCTCTCGAAAGTGGGTAGGATTTCGGTGGTATGTGTATTCACCAAAAATGATTGTAATTGACTTCTGCAACCGAAAATAATTTTTTCCAGAACGATTTGAAAATTTTTGAATTTAATTGTTTATAACTTTTTAACGAATCCTCCATCAACAAATTGGTATTCTTCATTTTCGTCTTATCTTGGCCTCTAAAATCCCTCTTTAAAATTTTTCCCAGGTGTGGCCATACACCCTGTATATAGCAACCGAGGGGTCGGTCGAGCGCTTGTGAGAGCGCGACCCCTCTGGTGGCGACCATGGGAGGCGACGCCACAAAATCTGGAACACACTGATCTATCCTTTTTATCGGTAACTAACAATTTGTACATACAGCGCTTACCATAAATAGACCAAATGCATGCAAAACTTAGCTGGCACTCAATAATAATTACTAATTTTTTGTTTTAATAGAATATATATTAACCTGTTCGTTGGTGTATTGCGGCAATGTAGTTTTATATTCTTGAAAAATACCGTCAACGAAAGCGTGCCATCTGTAGAATATTGGATCCCTCATAGCGGTTGCTGAATCACCCATGACGCCAGCCCATTCCTGAGATTAAAGTGGAAAGAAACGAAACATTACGTTAGTTGTTTTAATATTTGTTAACTATAATACTTTAAAATCTGTTGCTGAATAACAATTATTTAGACTTACCAAATAACGAGCATCCGGATCGTGGCAATAAGAAATAGCAGTATGTCCTAAATTGTGAAGGTCACCGTACACATTTGAATTAGGTGACAGGGAGCTAGCCTCTACTATATTTCCCAATATATCGATTCCATCTTTTTCAGTTAACGGCTTTGTTTTACCATTTGGAGTGACTATGGACGCTGCGTGGATCGACGCGTAGATACGGTCACGCCATCGTTCTAGATCCTGAATATCAAAACGTAGTTTTTCCGCTGCTCGATCAATGTCTTTAAGAACAGAACCGCCCGAACGAGCTGGCCATTTGCGGCCAGCAACTATGGAATCTAACTTTGGGAAGTAAGCCTCAGGGATCGGTTCATGCCAATCGATAAATCGTTTAACACGTCCAAGTTTATTGCATAAACGTTCACAGTTGTATCTGAAAATACGATACACGAATTCAGTAACACTGAAATTTAAATCTGAAGTTAAAATATCTTTTTAACTGTTTTGGAGACGTAGCAAGAATCCCAAAGAACATGATGTTCTTTGACTCGAACTTGAGTTCCCTAATCCAAGATGCAATAAGTGTCATCATTGTCTAAAAGATTTTCGGAATTAATTAACATTCGTAGTGCTTACCTAGCCATAATTTGCTGGTGCATGTAGTAGAAAAGTTCTCCACGGCGATCTTTGTTAACAATTCCCAAATTATTTTCAACGTTGGATGGATAGACCAAGTGCCAATGCCAATGATGGAGATTGATCCCAACATCTTCCCTCCAGTATGCGACACGATGTTCTGGATCCAGATCTGATGCAGTATAATCACGTGGAATATCGATCGGTATCTATTTGCAAAAAAGACATCGAATTAAACAATGAAAGAAACACGCATTTGTCGAATACATTTACTCTGTAAGTAATACAAGTTTTAATCTGTGAACTTGTTACATACCCGCGAACCCGTAGGCACCACATTAGCCACCTCTCTGATCCTAGAAAAAATTACTCCGTCGACATATTTGTCTGGAAATACTTCGCACAATGGTGGTAGTGGCAAATCTTTTGTATCAGGACGATGCAATATTGCTACTGAGAGGGCATAAATGAACAAATTCGCGTTCAAACGATCATGACAATAAACAGCAACAGACAAGAAGTCATCGAATGTCCTCATCCCTGCAATACGAAATACAACAAATAATTTATAACATTGTGTATAATATTAAACATAAATATAAAAACTTAATGCATATACATGGCGTTCAGAATAAAGCAGTTAAGGGGGCAGTCTCATGTGAGACCCCAAAAATATTGTTAACTAGAGAGATCTGCGTGATACGTGGTCGTGGTATATCAAATAAACACTATACTTTATTAATACTGAACACTAAACTTATAATTTTAAATGTACATGTAAATACGTGTAGCTCTAGTTATATGTGCACGAGAACATTTCAAAAGAAGGGGGAGTGCACACGCGGTGATCCCCCGTATTTATACACGTGTTGTTCAGACAGGGGTACCAACTACTGAACATGCAACTAGGGTAACGAATAAGGTGATTTAAATTTCAACAAAAATCAAGTTTTTTTTTTAAACACATGTTTACTATGGGTGTAATAAATCCATGAAAAGTAAATAAAAATTATTGAAAAATTTATTTTGTATTCCCAAAGGATAGTTAAGTAAATCACGAAAATAAATTATAGCGTTAGATGTAACATTTAGTTAAGAAAAATTTATAAAGGTTGTTAAATTTTGCAACGTACACATGAGACTGCCCCCTTAAATAAGTAGATAATTAATAACGTAATATAGTGTAAAACAAACCCATGAAAATGTCAATAAGGTGACCAGCTAATTTCCGATGAAAAGGAACGAAGATCGAAAATGGAGCATATCGTCCCAGCTGCATGGGGACACTAAGATCCGGAAGAGTAATTTGTTTCACTTGGATTTTTTTAGTAGCTTCTTCGCCAAAACGGTTGAATATCGATGTCGCCACATAACGATAATTTTCAGGCTGGGCAAACAACCAAGAATAAAAACAATTAGTTCAAATGAGAAAATCAACATTTCAGTTTACTTTAAAGCAAAAATTAAAGATTTTGTTGAGCCGTTCATAATCTCGCGGCCAAACGGCGACACCTATAATAAGGTTGAAGATCATGCGGGGATTCCCGTGTCTTTCGTTCGAGCCGCATGGTTGGCATTACTGTAATTTCTTACATTAAACTATGTAGGTTATGTTTAACATTTTAACATTTTATTAAGAAAAAGTCAAGACGTTCAGTGGATGTAACAGTCGATTCATGATAATATTTATTCCAGAAATAAATAAATGAAACTTACCAAATAATCAACCGGTATATCGAAACCAATTTTCTCGTCTCCTCTGGGCACGTAAATTGGCTCGGTAGGTCGATCGAAGAGATGCAAAATGTTCGAGTTATTGTTCGACATGTTAATTAATAGTTTTGTAAATGAACGAGAAGAGAAGAATAAGACAATAATCTGAAATTCAGATTAAATTGTAAGTAGGACTTTCTAACAAATGTCAGAGAACGATTTAAAAGTTCAGATGTTCGCGACCAACAGTGTTTTACAAGAAAATGCAACAGGCACCTAATTTATAGTAAGATTTTTTAGGATGTAGCGGTTTTTTTTTAAACCACAATATCCGTCACGGTGTCCTAAAATAATCAGCAACGAAAAGGACCATTATTGTGCCACCAAAAATTGAAACCATTTCCTGTTTTCTAAGGAAATGGATTGTGGTTAGACATCGGCATTTACATTAAAAATATTCGTTCAAAGAATGACTAAAAACTAAAGTTAGATATATTATGCTAGTAGTTTTAATAAATAAAACTTAAAATTAGCAAATTAATGAAAATTTGATTCAGGTATCGGGTTTAATACAAAATTTAGAATCAGAAATAATATATTTAACTAGAATTAATTTGTACAGAATAGTTGTTTAAGAATATTTAAAAGTAATATTAGGTTATGTAATTTTAATTAATTTCACGACATTAGAGAAGGCTTTTGCGCAATTACAAAGGATATTTAAAGCTTTTCATTCAAATTTAGTTGTCTTCTTTTGATAGTTCGTTTATTTCTTTGTCAGATATCCTAAGTTGGGTCCTTTCAGCTTCTGCCCGGGGCGCGTTGGAGAAACGAAGACCAGTTTCAGGGTCGCGAAATTATTTTCCTAGAATTAGAAATAGAAATTTAATTCTGTGTAAAAATATTACTTGGATTTGTGGCGTTGCCTCCCATGCTCGCCACCAGAGGGGTCGCGCTCTCACAAGCGCTCGACCGACCCTTCGGTTGCTCGGTTGACCCCGAGCAGCGGAAAAACTGCGTTATGATATCCAGGATTTAGAACGATGGCGCGATCGTATCTACGCGTCGATCCGACGCAGCGTCCATAGTCACACCAAATGGTAAAACAAAGCCGTTAACTGAAAAAGATGGAATCGATATATTGGAAAATATAGTAGAGGCTAGCTCCCTGTCACCTAATTCAAATGTGTACGGTGACCTTCACAATTTAGGACATACTGCTATTTCTTATTGCCACGATCCGGATGCTCGTTATTTGGTAAGTTTAAATAATTGTTATTCAGCAACAGATCTTAAAGTATTATAGTTAACAAATATTAAAACAACTAACGCAATGTTTCATTTCTTTCCACTTTAATCTCAGGAATGGGCTGGCGTCATGGGTGATTCAGCAACCGCTATGAGGGATCCAATATTCTACAGATGGCACGCTTTCGTTGACGGTATTTTTCGAGAATATAAAACTACTTTGCCTCAATACACCAACGAACAGGTTAATATATATTCTATTAAAACAAAAAATTAGTAATTATTATTGAGTGCCAGCTAAGTTTTGCATGCATTTGGTCTATTTATGGTAAGCGCTGTATGTACAAATTGTTAGTTACCGATAAAAAGGATAGATCAGTGTGTTCCAGATTTTGTGGCGTCGCCTCCCATGGTCGCCACCAGAGGGGTCGCGCTCTCACAAGCGCTCGACCGACCCCTCGGTTACTATACACAGGGTGTATGGCCACACCTGGGAAAAATTTTAATGATGGATTTTAGAGGCCAAGATAAGACGAAAATCAAGAATACCAATTTGTTGATAGAGGATTCGTTAAAAAGTTATAAACAATTAAATTCAAAAATTTTCAAATCGTTCTGGAAAAATTATTTTCGGTTGCGTGGATCAATAACAATCATTTTTTGTGAATACACATACCCCCGAAATCCTACCCACTTTCGAGAGAAAAATTCCTTACCGAAAATCTAATTAGGTGCCTTTTTTCGACGAAATTAAAAAATTCCACATCATTCTGGAAAAATTATTTTTGGTTGCGGGGGTCAATTACAATCATTTTTAGTGAATACACATACCCCTGAAATCCTACGTACTATCGAGAAAAAAATTCGAAAAGGTGTGTTTGTCGACGGAAAAAAAAATTTCATATCGATTTGGAAAAATTATTTTCGGTTGCAGATGTCAATTACAATCATTTTTGGTGAATAGACATACCCCCGAAATCTTGCGCATTTTGGAGAAAAAAATTCAGTACGGGCGGAACTTTAAACATTAATAACTTTTTAACGAAGCCTCCATTAACAAATTGGTATTCTTGATTTTCGTCTTGTTTTGGCCTCTAGAATCCCCCATTAAAATTTTCCCCAGAGGTGGCCGAACACCCTGTATACAATCCTCGATCGACTTCCCAATATCCACCTGAACACCACGCTGGACATTGTCAAAAAAATGACTAATATCCAAAACACCATCAGACATAACCTCAACAGAGCAACCATCACCACCCACTTAAACTGCAAGACAATTAAAACCCAACCCTGAACTTATTAACCACATCAAGCTCTGAAACAGATATCGGCGTAAATTCCAGAATACTGCTAACCCGCTCCACAGATACCTAAAAAACTTATTCACCAACCAAATCAAGTCTAAAATTCGCGACCTTAAAAACACCTCCTGGACTTATAAACTCTCCCAAATTGAAGCAAATCCTACTTCCCTAAGGACCATCTACAAAGCCCTAAAGCAATAACAAAACCAACATTCCACCCCTCACCGACAGTAACTCCATAGCTCACGCCAGACAAAGCCGAACTCCTTGCTAAAACATTCCACCTACAACCTCCTCACTCCAACAACTCTCCTACAGACCGAGAGGCGGATCTCCACGCCCACAATCTTACCACTTTTCCAACACCACCCCACTCAACCCTGAGTACATCACCTCGCAACTAGTCCTCAAACTCATCAAGAGTTTAAGGAACAACAAATCCCCAGGACACGACAAAATCACCGCAATTCAACTCAAAAACCTACCTAATAGAATGATCCTACAACTATACACTACGTCCTCAGGCAAGCCTATAGCCTAGCCTATTTCCCGAAAGCATGGAAAATCACAAAAATCATACCTTTCCCCAAACCAGGAAAAGCTCACGCTAACCCAAACAACTACAGACCTTCTGTCAGCCTTCTAAGCCTCCTCGGTAAAATCCTCGAAAAAATCATCTTCACCCAAATCAAAATTCACCTTACAGAGAACAACACCCTAATCTCGCAACAATTCTGCTTTCGGGCCAACTACTCCACTATCCACCAAGCCCTCAGACTGCAGGAAGACATTGCACTAGAAGTGAACAAGTCCTGTGGCTCTAGTCTTGCTAGACCTCCAAAAGGCCTTCGACACTGTCTGGCACAATGGACTCTTGCTCAAACTACATCGTATCAACCTACCTAAACACCTAATCAAAATAACACACAGCTTCCTGTCAAACAGAACTAAATCAGTAACCTATAACGGTACACAATCCACTCCCAGAACACTTCACATCGGGGTCCCCCAGGGGTCAGTACTGGGTCCCATGCTCTTCAACATCTACATCAACGACATTCCCAAAAATCCCAATAACAACTCAGAAGAATAATAATAAAAAAGAAAAGTAAACTTCCCAATATCTCAGTTGTCCAATGCAGGGCCTTACTGATGAGTCCACTAGCAGGCCCGAACGAAACGCGCCCCCTCCCCTTTCCTTTTCTGTCCTCTTACGATTCTCACGAGTTCCCCGTCGCAGCAAAGCAGCGCCACAGATTTGTTTAAAAAACTGCTTGAGAAAATAGAGTTAAGGGTCCCCAATTTATGGAAGTCTGTCGACGAATCGTAGCTCCTACGAACTTGCATAGGAACCGGGCATAGCAACGCCTGACATTTATTAGTGGTGTTGCAAAATTTGCATTGTTACGGTCTTAGATGCTGAGCATGCGCGTTAGTCAATCTCTCGACGCGTCTCAAAGACTGTGATCGTGTTACGTTTTGGTATCGGTGAAAGAAAAATTTTCGAATCGTTCTAAAAAAATTATTTTCAGTTGCGGGGATCAATTACAATCATTTTTGGTCAATAGACATACCCCCGAAATCCTAACTATATCCGAGAAAAAAATTCGTGAAGACTAAATTTTTTGGTGAAAAAAAAAATTTCAAATCGTTCTGGAAAAATTATTTTCGGTTGCGGGGGTCAATTACAATTATTTTTTGTGAATAAACATACCCTCGAAATCCTACCCACTTTCAAAAAAAAAATTCGTGTAGGTGTGAAATTTTTCGGCAAAATTGAAAAATTTCAAATCGCTCTAAAAAAATTATTTTCAATTGTAGGGGCGAATTACAATGATTTTTGGTGAATAGACCCACCCCCGAAATCCTACCCACTTTCTAGAAAAAAATTCAGTACAGGCGGAACTTTAATTTTCGTCTTATTTTGGTCTCTAAAATTTCCCATTAAAATATTTCCCAGGGGCGACCGAACACCTTGTATATTTACTTTCAAAAAATGAAATTAAAAAATAATCGATTCTTTTGGGGATCTCACATGAGACTACCCCCTTAAAGCTTTGTTTCTTGTGGTATTTGATGTTTCGTGGAGAGTATTTAACCGCGGCAGCTAAAGGTTAAACTATCATGTTCCTCAGAGAAAATAGCAAGAGTATTTCGTCGTACGTCTGTTTTTCGTGCCATTCATCTTCGTATGGACTGTTGGCTAGTAAAATATAGTCGAAGAAACCTTCTCGACAGACAACACCGATGGAACGAAGAAGAAGGGGTATGGAGGACAATTCGAGTGTAGTTTTCGGCTAACAGTACGTTTGTGCCGCCCTTTCGAGAATCTTGCGGGGCTACGGTATACGGTCCCGTACGCTCGCGGCTATATTTACCAAAAGTATCTTTATTAAAGCGATGTCGAATTACTCGTACTACTACGTGAAAACTATAGCCGACGGTGCAGACGCCGCGAGAACGTACAAATTTTTAAAAGGGTAAGCTGTCATCTTTAATTGAAAAGCATCAGGAATCCCGTGCGTGTCGTGCCATAATTATCTTTCCTCTTGGATCTCGAGTAACTAGAAAATATTACAAAACGTAAAAAAACGATTGGTGCGTGCCCGAGAATAATTACCATCAGTAACGTCAGGCTTAATTTCTCTAGAGACGGTAATTTATTCGTAGGAATCCTAGCCTGTTTCAACCTCCGGAGGACACATGGTCCACTTATGGTCGCTACAATCTTCTCACGCGGTTACTCAGAGGAGGACTTTCCGGTTCAGGGGACATCCATCATCCAGCGAACACTGTTTTCAAGGTCCGTGCTCGTTGTTCCTTTCTTAACCCTTTGCACTCAGTGTGGCCAGATCTGGCATAATTGAGTGCATCGACGTCGACATTAGTAACGACGAACTTTCTTAGCGTCTAACAGAGTGGTGGGGATAGCAGGCATATACTAACGCACGAGCCACGTGTACGTGAGCTCGGCACTTCGTGCAACTTCGGGAAATCGATAGAGAACGCTAGCGTGAGTCTTTCCTTCTTGCTCTTGTAACAGCTTAAATACGATCTCGCGATAATCGCCAAACGATTCCAAATCTCGATTGACCCAGCATTTTTACTTTCCGACCTATGTAAGGTATAAGGTATCATAATGAAAGAAAAATTTCGACAATTTTTTTTTGCGAAAATACACGTTTTGAGACTGCCTGATCATATTGTGACTATTAAAAAAAAAGAAATTTTCTTTTCACTTCGAAAAATTTAGGTACCTTTCTGAATTTTTTTCTCGAAAATGCGTAGGATTTCAGGGGTATGTCTGTCCACCAAAAACGATTGTAATTGAGTCTTGCAATCAAAAATAATTTTTCCAGAACGATTTGGAATTTTTTAATTTCGTCAAAAAATTTGACCTCGTTTCTGAATTTTTTTTCTCAAAAATGCGTAGGATTTCAAGGGTATATCTATCCACAAAAAACGATTGTAATTGACCCCCGTAACCAAAAATAATTTTTTCAGAATGATCTGGAATTTTTTAATTTCGTCAAAAAATTTGACCTCGTTTCTGAATTTTTTTCTCAGAAATGTGTAGGATTTCAGGGGTATATCTGTCCACCAAAAACGATTGTAATTGACCCTCGCAACCAAAAATAATTTTTTCAGAATGATTTGAAATTTTCTTTTTCGCCGACAAATTTGACCTCCTTTCTGAATTTTTTTTTCGAAAATGCGTAGGATTTCAGGGGTATGTCTGTCCACCAAAAACGATTGTAATTGAGTCTTGCAATCAAAAATAATTTTTCCAGAACGATTTGGAATTTTTTAATTTCGTCAAAAAATTTGACCTCGTTTCTGAATTTTTTTCTCAAAAATGCGTAGGATTTCAAGGGTATATCTATCCACAAAAAACGATTGTAATTGACCCCCGCAACCAAAAATAATTTTTTCAGAATGATCTGGAATTTTTTAATTTCGTCAAAAAATTTGACCTCGTTTCTGAATTTTTTTCTCGAAAATGTGTAGGATTTCAGGGGTATATCTGTCCACCAAAAACGATTGTAATTGACCCTCGCAACCAAAAATAATTTTTTCAGAATGATTTGAAATTTTCTTTTTCGCCGACAAATTTGACCTCCTTTCTGAATTTTTTTTTCGAAAATGCGTAGGATTTCAGGGGTATGTCTGTCCACCAAAAACGATTGTAATTGAGTCTTGCAATCAAAAATAATTTTTCCAGAACGATTTGGAATTTTTTAATTTCGTCAAAAAATTTGACCTCGTTTCTGAATTTTTTTCTCAAAAATGCGTAGGATTTCAAGGGTATATCTATCCACAAAAAACGATTGTAATTGACCCCCGCAACCAAAAATAATTTTTTCAGAATGATCTGGAATTTTTTAATTTCGTCAAAAAATTTGACCTCGTTTCTGAATTTTTTTCTCGAAAATGCGTAGGATTTCAGGGGTATGTCTGTCCACCAAAAACGATTGTAATTGACCCCCGCAACCAAAAATAATTTTTCCAGAACGATATGGAATTTTTTTATTTCGCCGAAAAATTTGACCTCCTTTCTGAATTTTTTTCTCGAAAATGCGTAACTTTTCAGGAGTATGTGTATTCACCAAAAATTATTGTAATTGACCCCCGCAACCAAATATAATTTTTTCAGAATGATTTGGAATTTTTTAATTTCGCCGAAAAATTTGACCTCCTTTCTGAATTTTTTTCTCGAAAATGCGTAGAATTTCAGGGGTACGTCTATCCACCAAAAATGATTGTAATTGACCTCCGCAACCGAAAATAATTTTTCCAAAACAATTAAAAAATTTTTTTTTACGTCGAAAAATTTCACACCTCGAATTTTTTTCTAAAAAGTGGGTAGGATTTCGAAGGTATATTTATCCACCAAAAACGATTGTAATTGACCCTCGCAACCAAAAATAATTTTTTCAGAATGATTTTAAATTTTGTAATAACTTTTTAACGAAGCCTCCATCAACAAATTGGTATTCTTGATTTTCGTCATATTTTGACATCTAGAATCTCCCATTAAAATTTTTTCCCAGAGGTGGCCGAACACCCTGTATAACATTTGATTCTATGTAACAAATTGATAACTGTTATTGAAAAACACAGCGGTAAAAGTCAGTATTAATCTATTTCTGTAGCAATTAATTCTCCTATTTAGATCATATCTGTAGAAAATATTTGTTTCTGAAGATTGTTACAGCGTACCTACACGGTACTGGTTAAGAGTGGTTTTTCATTTTAATAAATTTTACTTATTTCAATTTCTAAATATTTATTTCTTAATTAACCATTTACGAGGCTGTTTTGAACAACATTATTCTAAAATATTTGTGGAATACGTTTTTAATGTGGTTTAGGTAGGTATGCAATGTATAAGATTTCGTTTAACTTTTCCTTTCTAGAAAAGATAGAAGAAAAGTTTATAAATCATATTAAAAATTTGTTGCAAATAATGTATATGTATCGAAATAATTATAAAACTATAAGACATAATCATCATTATCCGAGAGCTGATCACGCTCAAAATCTAATCGGACCTTGAAACGAGAACATAAAACTTAAATGTTAAGTTTCATTGAAATTCATTCAGCCGTTTAGACGCAATCATGTTAATAGCATACGTATGTACATGCGTAAATAGACACAGAAAAAAAATTTCAAATCATTCTGAAAAAATTATTTTTGGTTGCGGGGGTCAATTGCAATCGTTTTTGGTGGGTAGACGTACCCCTGAAATCCTACGCATTTTCGAGAAAAAAATTCAGAAAGGTACCTAAATTTTTCGATGTGAAAAGAAAATTTCTTTTTTTTTTATAGTCACAATATGATCAGGAGGTCTTAAAACGTGTATTTTCGCCAAAAAAAATTGTCGAAATTTTTCTTTCATTATG